ACAAGAACAACAACAAAAATAGCTGGGCATTTTGGAACCCGCCACCTTAGGTGTATGTGGCTGGCGCCCTAGCCGCTTGAGCCACAGGCGCCGAGCCGGGTTGGGGCATTTTTAAAAAGGATACTGAGATTGAAATGGGATGAAATGTTGACACACTCTTGATAACAAAACATTTTTTCTTTTCACTATTTAGACAACTTTTTTTTTTTTGAGACAGAGTCTCACTGTGTCGCCCTGGATAGAGGGCCGTGGAGTCACAGCATACAGCAACCTCCAATTCTTGGGCTTAAGTGGTTCTCTCGCCTCAGCCTCCCAAGTAGCTCCACAGGCACCCACCGCAACGCCCGGGTATTTTTTGGTTCTAGGTCCCATTGTTGTTTGGCAGGCCCAGGCTGGGTTTGAACCTGCCAGCTCCAGTATATGTGGCTGACTCCCTAGCTGCTGAGCTACAGGTATCAAGCCCACAAATTTTTTTTTTGTTAAATTAGCTGAGCATGGTGGGTCATGCCTCTACTGCTGACTACTTGGGGGAGGCTAAGATGAGGAGTTTGAGGTTATAGTGAGCTGTGATTATGCTACTACACTCCAGCTGGGAATATGAATCTTTTAGTGAATTTTTAGTTGTGGTATATTATTTTGGTTTTGTATCATGTTTAAAATGGGCATAATTATGGTGGTGCCTGTGGCTCAAGGAGTAGGGTGCTGGTCCCATATATTGGGGGTGGTGGGTTCAAGCCCGGCCCCCGCCAAAACTACAAAAAAAAAAAAAGGCATAATTATGTGGGAAAGATTATAAATAGTACCATCAATTATAGTTTTTTTGTTTTTTTTTTGAGACAGAGCCTCAAGCTGTTGTCCTGGGTAGAGTGCCGTGGCATCACAGCTCCCAGCAACCTCCAGCTCTTGGGCTTAAGGATTCTCTTGCTTCAGCCTCCCAAGCAGCTGGGACTAGGACTACAGGCGCCCACCACAACACCCAGCTATTTTTTGGTTGTAGTTGTAATTGCTTGCTGTGTGACAGGCCTGGCCTGGATTTGAACCCACCAGCTCTGGTGTATGTGGCTGGCGCCTTAGCTGCTTGAGCTACAGGCACCCAGCCCAATTATAGTTTTTTATTTGGAAAAGTTTCAAACCTCAATGTTGAAAGAGTAATATAATGACTACCTTTTCCCTGCCCTTTTCCTTTTTTCCAGATTTATTTGAAATTTGCAGGCATTATTTCACTTCACCCCCTACACTTGATCTTAGATAAAATGTGGAGAAGTGATATATATTTCACTTCTAAATACCTCAGTGTGCATCGCCTAAAAATGAAAGTATTGGCTGAGCTGGGCTCTGAGCTGGGGCTTCATTCAGCCTCCACTGGGATCTGGGGATCTGTGTCCACAGGCCCATGCCTGTCTGTCCTCTCCTGGCAGGCAAAATGACGGTCATTAAGTAGTATAGATTATTAGTATGAAGTGTCCAATTTCCTTAATTTGACATTTCACTTCTTGTTTTATTTTTATTGTGAAAGTATATCCTCATTTGTTCAAATGTACCTTTTGGCCTATGATTATCTTTCAAATTTTTTTAGAGCAATTTTGTGAAACTATGGATAAGTCAAAATTTTGTGTTATTTTTGAATATGAGTTCCATTGTGGAACCAATGTAGCACAGACAACTCAAAATATCAACAAGGTATTTGGGAAAGTTAAGGCTAATGATTGCATAGTATGTCCAACGTTGATGGTTTGAGAAGTTCCATTCTAGTGATTTTAATCTTGCAAATAAGCCACATGGGCAACCTGAGACCAATGTGGATAATGATGAGCTGAAAACTGTAGTGCAGGTGTCCTCAAACTACGACCTGCCTAGGATGTTTATCCAGCCCGCCAGGTGTTTTTTTTTTT